TGTTGGGGCTCAAGCTCTTTAACGGATCCCACTTGATAGTTGAAGGGGATGCTTACAATATTATCTTTTGGGCATCTAGAAAGTCTATAACCCCTTGGTACATAGCTTCGATCTTTGATGAGATTGAATTCATTTACCGGGATATCAGCGTCTCATGGAGGCATATTTTCAAGACATCGAACGAGTTCGCAGATCTCATGGACAATGACAGAACCAACATCCAAGAAAGTGGCCTATCTCCGCCTCCTGATCTTACAAACAGTTTTGGACCACCGTGAAGTTTGCTGCAGGGTTTTTCTCCAATTTTTGCTCACCTCTTATATTTACGTTGTAAAAACGGGCATTTTATAAACCCTTTGACTGGTTGGCTGCATCAATTTGTTGTTGTCACAGTAGCCGCTTGTCTGTTTTCCTGTTTTTTCTGTATAGGGATTACCTAGCCCCTTCAAGGCTCCGATAACTCCCAATTTTTGTACGGGATGCTCCCAACACTTGTACATACTATCTTCTTATTTAATGAAATGGTTAACTTTATCAAAAAAAAAAAAGAAAAAAGCCCTAAAGACTATATTTTAGCATGTCCTTATCAAATGCATTGCTAAAACATACATCTCATCTGCTTTGTTATCTCCTTCGAACCATCTTTGTTTAACCCCTGGGTTTGGTTGCCGGATGTACTATAAGTTCCAGTAGGTTAACCACATTTGACCTGATGTAACATAAGTTCTATTGCAGTCGTCCTAAGGGAATGACCACAAGAATTTTCTCTTTTGACTTTTTGAGCTTTCATTCCTATATATTCTGTCGTAAATAGTTAGATAAAGAGCATACATACTAAATTTTTATGGAAGCAGTACAGAAGACCATATATCTTAGCAGAAGCAGCATAGGATTGACACATCCATAAATGTACCACATCATTTATATACATCCCAAGCAACATGATATTTACACAAGATACAAGATAAAATTTTGTTGGTTAAGACTGAACATAATACCATTTGATTCCCTTTTATCACAAACAGAAGTAAAGCAAATACCATGCAAAAGAATAAACTCAAATCTAAAAAGTTCATTATGGCATGCTTTTTACATTCTCGCAGCTCAGCCATTACTAATACAATTAGTCTTCATTGATCCTCCAGCCTTTAGACCAACATTTCGTTTGCTTGAGGGTGGTGGTACTCTAGGTGTTGCAGTCTAAAAAGGTCCAACTATTTTCATAGCAAATCCAGCTTCCACAAGACTAGCATTTATTGAATATGAGTCATAAATCAATCAAAATTTAATTTGGGATTCAGTTTTTTAATGTTTCTTCCCAAATTAGAAAATAATTTGGGACGCAAACATGTATAGCTCCAAAATAAATATGTTTCTATTCAATCATTTAGATATAACAAGAGGTAATAACATCCATAGATGTAACACATCCTTCATATTCATAAAATACAAAATCAAAGATAACTTCTTTGCATAGGTGAAATTGAACATCATGTCATTCAGTTCTCTTTTCTTGAAGGTAATACAATGCCAAAGAATAAATTTGAAGCAAAAAGGTTCATAATTCGTTTCTTGCATCTCAGCTATTGCTAATGCAATTAGTCTTTGTTGATCTTCAAGCCTTCGGACCAGCATCCCACTATTTGAGGATGGTGACAACTCTATTTATCTGTTGAGATCTAGAAAGGTTCGAAGAGATTCACGCAAAAAAACATTTTAGATGCCACATGACTCACATTTATGGTATGAGTCATAGATAAAATGAGAATTAATTTGGAATGGAATCAAAACAAACTAATTTGGGATCTAGTTTGATGACATAAAAAAATAAGTGTGTCCCTATTATCCCAAACTATGAATTATTTTCTTGGGGTTTGTGGCCTTTAAAGCCTATAAGAGCATGTAATAAAAATTATTGTGGATTGTATACTTCAATTGGGAGTGTGTGTATTGGTTGATTGATCTAGGGTTGGGCAATCTATGGCCCTAGTCATGTCCAAAATCCTTTCCTCTAGGCAATATGGCACTACGTAGAGGGTTTTCAAAGGGACATCCCCAGTCGAGGTTGGAGAGATACCCATAGATGGTCTATAGGTTAGGACAGCTTCGGGATTTCCTGTTGCGGAAGTAAGACCTGTGAAAGCAAAGGCTAAATCGTCAAGGAACTTTTGCACGGAATGTACACATGACAGCTATATATTGGGAAGAAACCCTGAAAGGTCCCTTTTTTGTCAATTCTTTTATTTTTTTGAAAAATTGTACTACAAGTACCAGACAACATTTGGAGCTTTTTCCTTTGAGAAATCAGGCCAGCACTCGATGTACTGAACTGACTTCTCCATAAAAGTGTCGAGTCCGCACTCCAATTGCTAGACAGACCTTTGACAAGTTTTCCACCAGAAGTCAAGCCAGCACTTGGACTGTCAGATAATCTTCTTTTCAATTAGGTACTTCAATTGATAGACAGACTCAATCAAAATAAAAAAAAGAAATGAAGTGGGGTGGTGTTTAGAAGAGATAGAATGTGAGATAGCAAGAGAGATAGAGGTGAAGGGTAAGGGCTTTTGTGTGTGCGTGCATGCGTGCACGTGTGTGTGTGTGTGAGTGAGAGAGAGAGAGAGAGAGAGGTGAAGGGTGGGGATTGGGCAATGTAAACCCCACACCTCTCTTTTTTTGTTCAATCAATCTTTTCTTTTCTTTTTTGTTTTGAAGACTTGAAGTGGTCCGGCCTGGCCAAAAGGAAAGTGGTCCGGTCATCCAAGTGTCAGACCAATTTCTGGCCAAAAGTTTGCCAGTACTTGAAGTGCTGGATTGATTCAAAGAAGAAGTTTCACATGCAGTTCTGTACTTCAAGTACATGACTAGGGATATTTTGGGAAAAACTAAAAACTGAAGAAGAAAAAAAAAGTACCCAAGCAAAAAAAAACAACAATAGGGATTATTTTTTAATTCTGAAAAAAGGCATTTTTATGGTTTTTTTTTTTTTTACAAGGTTACATAGGAATGGAACTTGAGACAGTGCTATGAAACCCAGTTGTTATCGTCTTAATCCAAGCCCTTGTACCATTCAAAATTGGAATCATCATGATAACATTAAAATAAGGGAAAATTATGTAAATATCCGTTATATTTCCCATTATTACAAAAATACTTGAAACTTTCTATTATTGCCTAGATGTCCGTTTTTTCAACTTCATAACACATTTTGAAAAAAAAAAGTCGAAATTGCCCATTTTCGGTTTTTGAAAAATCGAAATTTTTTCAATTTTTATTTTTGAAGAACCAAATTTTATAGCTTGTAACTCGGCATGTTAAAAAAAGAAACAATAAAAAATTAAAGTATATATATAATACGATACCCATTTCTATCACTATTACCCAAAGGAATAGTGTATTGGTAAAAGGCATATGGTTTTCTTCAAGAGGTTTTGGTATCAAATCCTACCCATTCCATAATGGGGCTTTTTTTTTTATTTTAATAAAATAAAAAACATCCGTTTTTTTATTGAAAACTTAGATTGCATATGGATGATGGGGCTTCGTTTTTTGCTTTTTAATATAAAAAAAATCCATTTTTTATTGAAAAAAATTAGATTGCGTATTGCGGGACTTGAACCCTTGCATGGTCACCGAAAAGCCACAACCATTCCATAATGAGGGGTTTTTTTTTTTTTGCTTTTTAATAAAATAAAAAAGTCCATTTTTTATTAAAAAAATTAGATTGCATATGGGGGAACTTGAACCCTTGATGTGAAAGTGTAGAAGCATGCATGATACCCAAAAAGCCAATTCAACCCCAAGTTTATATATTTGGGCATACATAATATTGATATTTAAAAACCGAAAATTAAAAACAAATCGTTTTTGAAAAACAAAAAATGGGTAGTTTCGTCTTTTTTTAAAAAAAAAGTGTTATGAAGTTGAAAAAGCAGACATCTGTGTAATAACGAAAAGTTTCATGTATTTTCGTAATAACAAACTATATAACGGATATTTACATAATTTTCCCTTAAAATAAAATAGATAATGACCCTTTCATATAATAAAAAAATAAAGTCTACCATAAATTCAGAACAATGGAAACTCCCCATTCAAAATTAGATTCAATTTGATGACACTAAAAAATAAAAACAAATATGATCCTATTCAATTAAGATTTAATTGGGGAAGCACCCAAACCTACTTAATTTGAAATTCAATTGATAACATTAAGAATTCAGTATGTCCCAAATTAGGATTAGTTTGGTATGCATATAGGAGGAGGTAAATGACAATAGAGAGCAAACAACTAAGATACATGAACAAACATTTTTCTATTTTAAAGAAAAAAAAATGAACCAAACAAAAGTCTGTTCCATCTTTTAATATATCCCTGGAGGTAAAGAATGATGCTGAACATATGGTACTTTATCTGTGTTGATAAATGGAAAAAGTCAATGAAGAAGTTACCCTCTATAGATGCATGGACCAGATACTTGAATAGTCCCAAAGGCAACCAGGTAAATGCTAATCATTTCATAGGCTGATACTTGCTATTTAAAAACCTATATCCATCTACAGACTATACAAATCATGATAAATGCAATGCAAGGTGACTTGCAGAGAATCGCATGCCAATCTAGTGATCCAACCACAATATATTATTCACTGGGCCATGGGACATTCAATGGATGGCCTAGGCAAGGAGTCAAAGGTATATGGCCAAGACACGGACCAAGTGTACACATATTAGGTGCAGAATGAGATTTGACTTTCAACAAATTTTGTGATCCTTAGGAAGGTTAAATAAATAAGCCAATTATCCTAGAGTTCCTCATTAGAATTGCATTACGTACTGAATGAAAGAAACAAAAAGAAAGAACTGAAGTACATGGATGATCATTTTCTTGTTAATCAAATGAATCTCCATCAAGATATAGAAAAAGAAAAACTTCATCATGATGTGAGCATGTGAGCTAAATTTTGTTCATCTACATATTTGTAAATGGAACAGCCAAGACCTTGCTATGTAGACTTGGATTCATAGTCTTAATATGCGTGCTAAGGTGTGGGCAATACACTGTATGATGTTCCAAAATTTTCGGTAATTTACAGCAGAATTCCAGGAAGACCACCTTGCAGTAAAAAAGGCTACATCAACTAAAATATGAATGAGCTTTCCGCAAAATTTTGCATATATAATGTAGACCCAAAACCAAACAAGATAGGCATACCTTGCACCAGGGAATGTTGCGCCACATGAAGAACCAGGGGCCTGATGACAGCTTCAACCTGCGAGCTGAGACAGCAAATTGGTTACACCACCTAAGGTTACCCCTAGGACTTTCTTACACCCCTTATTGTCTCCCTAGACCGATGGTGCACCTAGTTTGAATACAAATATCCCTTTAAAGTTTTCTGAGAAGAAAAATTGCAGAACAACATATTGTGGAATAGAAAAGAACAAGGTTTTTGTCTCACAAATCTGTTTAAAATTTCAGCACCATAAAACACAGTCAATCACATGCCACCCTCTCTCTCTCTCTCCTCCCCCCCACCCCACCGTCTCTTCTCCTACGTCCTCTCGTCCGTACTACTCGTCTACACTACTTACGTACTTACGTAACTTAAAAACTTAAACGTTAACGTAAACT